CGGACATACGAGAACATGAGGGAGATCCGGACAGAAGGCCCGAATCGGAATAGCGGATCGTAAGAGAGACAATGCGAACAGGTGTTATGACGCCACACTAAACTTGCCAAAAAGAGCACACCTTTTTGGGAGTTGAATGCAAACAAGTCATAAGTTGTGATAAAGAAGGATTAAGTAGATAGATGGACGAGTTTAGAAAGAGAAGCGATAGCACAACCGTTTCGGCAGAAAGTTTGATCAAGGGATTGATTTCACGTGTATCTTTAACTAGTTTGGTGCTGAGAATGCCAAGACTCACTGATGATGCCGACTATGATGCCAGCGAAACGTCTGAGAATGTAACAAGTCCACGGTCTGACGCTGAGAACTATGTTAACTACTATAGAGAGGACTTCGGACAAGATGTGTCTAACTAATTCACCCTGACAACAAGCTCAAGTTGCGAAAAAGAGAGTAGCCCGCTTCTATACATAGAAAGGAGACTGTGACCAAACCGAGGGCCCCACGATCTTGGTCTTCATAGCTTCGTTTAAGAAAACAAATATGGGAGTTGGAAAGTTTCTGTTATGAAGGGATGCATGTGTGTCTGAATTAGAGTTGTACTTTACCAATCAGTTTTAGCAAAATTACTTTGATAAACAGAGCAACGCAGATAATGGAAAGACAAACTAATGCAGACCAACTGGTGAAATTATCGTAAAATATGATAAGAATAGATTTTTCGCCATTTGAGGACTCGATGGATAGCAAGGCACTAGTGGCTTGGGACAAAAGAAGATGTCGACTGGTAGATATCAAATGATGAACTAGTCCATACATTGAGCTAATATCAACAAGTCTATGGCTATTCTGTTGCTTGCGTACTTAATAGCATTAAAAAAGTATTCATGAAAAGATAAAAGCACCCCACCTTTTCGTCGCTCGAGAATTGAGGCAAAATCAAAAATCATTATTTCGCCGGCCTCTACCACTTTGAGCGCGAGTGCGTTGTCACTGACTTGTGCTAGGCCATCGATGCAGACCTCGTGATCAACGTCAAGCTTCAGCTCCATGTCCGGTTCACGCTCTCGTTTCTCAAGTCTGAGATCAGTTATCTTCCATGCGAATAGACCATCTTCGCACCCCGCTATTAAATAAGCGTAATGCGGCAGAAACACAAGATTGAGCACCGGGTTAACATCAAGTCGAGGGCAACGAAGACGCATCAGCAGCTGGTAACGCGTCTTGTAATCGGGCACTGAAGGAACGCCAATGTCCCAGACGATAACTGAGGCCTAGTTTTTCATTTTCAATAATAAATGAGAAGAAATAAAATGGGATGAACGGGGATAGGGGCAGCGATCAGATAGATTTTGAGAGTTTAGAATATATAAAATTATAAAATAGAGATCGATCATTAGGTTACGATAAAAAAAAACAAAAATAAAGTAATGTTCTAATAGAAGGTATAAAGACCAAGATGGTGTGGCCTTTTGTGTGGTCGCAGTCTCTTTTCGTTGTATAGAGGTTGTTTGACCTTGTTTTCGCAACATGGTCATATTGGTAGGAAGAG